CCCGGGACATTTGGGCAACAGCCTCGAACCCGTGAATCACTTCAAGACTTCAAGGCAACTGAACTGAAGACCCTACTTGACCTTGAAAACTGTGCGTCGCTTCTTCTTCGCCATGGGGCACATTTTGGCGACTTATAAAGATCCGAGTTCAATGCCCGATATATCAAAGGGGCCGAAGTTTGATCAGCTTCAAGGTTTTCCAAATGGACGAAAAAAGCGCGTTTCATTGGTTAGTGTCCGTTTTCTCATTTCGATCACAACCACTGACGACGTGGGCCTAAGCCAAATTTAGTCAATTTTCCGCCTTTCATTATGTATAATGTATTTTATATCATATAAAACAGCTAATATAGCTTAAAAATTTTGCAATTGATTTGTACCAGTTAAGCTTTCGTTTAAGAAATTAATCGAAATAATGACAATTAGAGTTATATTTTGATTTTTCTCATAAGTTTCCGCCAGGGACAGGAGCCGTTCCCTCACATTTGCTCGTACGCTCACTGTATCTGAGGTTTTTCATTGCATAGTAGCTGATTTTCAGTTGCAGAATGTTCGTATCCTCCAGAAGCCTTGCAGGTTTGGTATCATCCCTCACCGTTCTTCCTAATTAACATGTGTTCTCTCCTCTCATCTTTCACTTAGAACCATTTTAAGGTTCAATCATCATATGCTTGCATCTTTCCGGTAGAACGAGCATGTCGAGGACTCTAACCTAGGAGCCACTAAAAGCATGGAATCTTAGATGTCTGGAGTCCGATCACCGATAGATAGCTAACGCCTCGTCTCTCAGTTTGATCACCGCCCAGAAATTTAAGGTGAAGGACTAAATTTCAAACATCCGAAGAACAATGAAACTGCACCCAAGGACAATAAACTAAACAATATTCGCAACAGCATCAAATCCCGTGACCTAACCTGAACCCCGTACCTCTTACCTTCACTTGTGCGTAAGCAATTAATGCGATGTTCAGTTCAAGTTGCACAAAACAACATATGACCGTAACCAATCAGTTGTTCAACAATTTTTCATCAGTAAGCCCACATGTTGGAGTTTACCACTGCGAATGTCGTTTATTGTAATTGCTTCAAGTTCTCCTCAGCACTTCCACTTTTCCCTGCTACTGCTAGGGAATGAACAAAAATATCGCTCTATTATCGATATCGAGTGAAATTTTCCTTCGAGAGGATGTTGTAACGAAGGGATAACTTAATTAAGGAAATACACTGTATGAACCGGAAGAACACTTCGGTGTCTAACGGAAAAGACGAAACCTTGCATTACCCATGCACACATCAAGTTCCATTAGCTCTGCTGTTTACTTCCACTGCGTCGTTACCTCGTTACTGAAAACGTTCGATCGTTTTATTAGTTTGGTGGGTGTATTTTAGCCCTGAAACATCCTCTTGTGTTACTTAGCAACCTCCAATATTCCCCTCTTATTCAAACCAGTACCATCCGTTCACTGTCCGGAACAATTCTATCGCCCCCTCAAGGTCGTCTCTAACTCAAAGAGCGCAATGTCCTCAGATGTATGCTATCCATCACCGTCTTTCAATCGTCTTATAAGCAAGCCGTTGAACCCTCTTCGAGGGCGATACCCTCGTTTTTGAAAAATGGATCCCAGGACTACGTGTGGTGTTGGATGTGGTCACTCCGTAGAGTTTTGCAGAAAACGNTATATATATATATATATATATATATATATATATATATATATATATATATCGTAGTACGGGGAATTTCAACGATCTCTGCCAAACTCGAAATGCATACAAGATTAGTGGTAATATTTAAGGAGGATAGAAATTCAACCTAATTTGAAAGAGGGGAAGAAGGTAAACCTCTATGGTCAACACAGAGTGCACAATCGAACTCTGCAAAATACCGTTTCAAGCACTCTGGTCTGATAAGAAATGACAACAAAAACGCCACTGCTATCGGTTCGCTGTCATATTCTTCAATGGCTCCAACTGATCAGTTGCGGATTCTTTCAGACCCGAACTTGGAATGCACGTGATACCTACTCTACCCAACGGCCCTGTGCATTTCTTCA